TGATTTGTGACAACTTGAATTAGCTCAATAATTGAATAGTTTTACCTAGTTCTGTATCTCATGTTTAAACCCGTCCAGAACGAATGTACTGTAGAAAGACATATAAATTTTTCAAACTTTGAGGCAATGTCTATACATATAGAAAGAGAGAGACGAATGATAGATAGAACTCATATGAAGACAACAAGACTACTAAAAGAGGTTAATGCAGTAATAGAGACTAAGAAGGGAAGTGTTCATTATTAGAGATTTCACTGGAATAAGAACTTTTAGTTCGTTGATATAGGTTTCAATAAGAAGAAAAAGTAGTTAATTGAAGCAATGGAAATTAAAAACTTACAATAAGATAAGTTGTTGGAAATTGTCGTAAAATATCATCGGAAGCGAGCAAAGGTGACATATGTGGATGAGTTAGAAATGATGATTCACGTAATTTTCGAAGAAGATATGCTTGACGCGAACCCATTATATCAACTGAACAAAAAAAGAGAAATAATAATATTTTCTCAATATTTAAATCAAAAAATTGTTCAACTTAATCGAGCATGATAAATGTCTTTAACATCGGGTTGTATAGAGTCAGATACATCTTCTTCTTCAGGTACAATTTGATATGATGATCTGTCGCTACTAATGCTACGTCGTTTTTCACGCGTCTTATCAATAGTAGGTTTTGATAAAGAAAGATTACTACTAGGTGATTCATAATCATACTTAATTCCAGCATATGCGGCAAGACAACGCCATAGGAAACTCGTGTTTAATAGTGGATCCATAATAGCCAATAATCGAGATGGTGATAGACTAAATTAACAACAAAATTTAGGGCTTAAATGACGAAACACGATGTAGCTGCTCTATTACTAATCGCAAGGAGTTATTACGAGTCGTTATTGATACACGCTCTGTAATATTTCAATGGTAAATAGAAAGCTACAGGTCCACATTTTTGTGGATTTCGACCCGTACCTCCCCCTAGTGGTGATGTTTGTTATAACCTGTTAAAATTCCTGTAAGATCATGTTTCACAAAAGAGAAGCAAGTCGATTTTGCTCTGACTTCTGTTTTCTTAATTACAAAAACATCTGGTTTATTTCATTCTGACATATTATTTTGTTTGTTGACATAATTTTCTGTAAAATGTCACTAGGTCAGATATTTTTACTAGGATCAGCATGACCGAAGAATATCTGTACAGAATAAAAATTTGGAATATTTCAAGGAATAATTTAGAATTTCAGAAGAGTAGTTAAAACAATTCTAATTATTTACCTATAACAAAGAAGAAATGGTGTATAAAAACAAATAATAGCATCTGGTTTTCTTAAACCAACTTCAATTGCTTTTATTGTAACAGTTGTT